GTCATCTCTGATCTAATTCACTGGACACTGATGTTTTATGGAATATATTTAGGCTGTATTTTTTTTTCTTCAAATGAGCACATGCTTTTGCATGTTTAGGATCTGCTTGGTGCAAGTTTATATGTTTATTTATTTAGGCTGTCCGATATCTGAAATACTTTTGCATTAAAAGAAACACATGTAAGATTGGCTTAATGTGTGAGATACACACATTTTTTGAATTTAAAACTGGGTGAGAATTTGACTTCTAAACCTGAAAGGGAAAGAATAAGAGTTACTTGGGCCTAGAGTCAGCATGGGCAACTGTCAGGGCCCACTGTTGATGCCTTCCCTCCAGAAGAAGACCTCTGTTAGATCAGGCAAAGACCCATCTCGTCCAATACTCTGTTCTCACATGGCCAGCTAGATGCCCCTTGGAAGCCTATATGCCTGGGTTCCCCTTTATCATTTTGATTTCCCTCGAGGCTCAGGTGCCATGCTTTGTTGGGGCATGATGGGGGATTTAACGGCTCCCAGCTGCCTGGTGCTTCTTCAGAGTGCTGTGGATGCTTCTTGCTGCTGTTATCACCACCTCCAGACCAGCCTGCCAGGGTGGTGGATTGTACTTCGCTGAGGTTGCCTTCAGACTGAAGGCTTCCTCTGGCATTCCCTATTGTCAGAGCTGCCTCAGGTCCTAGCTCACAGAGGACCAACGCCAGTCCATTGTTATATAAAATAGTCTTTATTGAAGTTCAGTTTCTCTTTTACAACCACGGCACGCAGCTCTACGTCTTAAACCCTAGACCGCCGAAGCTCCGTCTGAGTCTCCTCCCCCCAGACACCAGTTTAAGACCCTAGCCTTGCTCCACCTCTTCCTTTGCTCTCTCCTCCTCTGGGTCCGCTTGTCCGCTGGGGTCTTGCCTTTCCTAGACTCTTCTGACGCTGAGTCCCCTGAGTCTTCCCCCTCCCTCCGGCGGGCTTTAGGACCTGGTTCCCAATCTGGGTTTTCCGCTGTCCCGCGCGCCTGTACATTTGAACTTGGCGCGCGCGCCCAGCCGGCCCCCTTCCTCCTGACCGTTATACTGCTCCTGTCGCTGCTTCCCTCTTCTGGGATGCTAGCTGGGTCTGACTCCTCCTCCCTGCTTGCCGGAGGAGACGCTGGCTCTGACCTATGGGGTTCTTCCCCCCCACTACGCTCTGGTGGGGAAGCTGTTCCTGATTTCCAGCTACTGCTTTGGGAGTCTCCGCTGGCCCCCTGTTTCTGGTGTGTCCCCCCTGGGACCCCCCTTGCCCTGGCCATCGGCGCCCCCTTCTGGGAATCTTCTGATTCACTGGAGAGGCTTATGGAATCTCTCGGGTCACTGTCATTCTGCCCTCCGCTGCCCTCAGATTCTTCCCCTTCGCTCTCCATTTCCTCTCTCCCCTGTGCCTCTGCTCCTGAGCCCCTGACATCTATGTGTCTACCTAATGGGCTGTATCCAACTACCGTATTTTTCCCTCTATAACACGCAGATTTTTTCTCCTAAAAGGGAAGGGGAAATGTCTGTGCGTGTTATAGAGCGAATGTGTGGTCCCTGGAGCCAAAAAATCAGGCAAAATCAAACCGCGCTTCACGGAGAAGGGAAACCTGAAAAGAGGAAGTGGCAGCTTTCCTGCATTCTGCCTCAGGGTCTTACTGCCCACCTTCCTCTGTTTCGTTGCTGTGTTTGCTGAAACGGAACAAAGAGCAGGGAAAGCCCCTCCCCTCCACGCAAGCAGAGTGTCGTTCTTTCTAATTCCTCTCTGTGCTCCGGTGCTGCTGGGGGAGAGGGAGAGAGAGTGGGGGAGGGAGAGGGAGAGGGAGGGAGGGAGAGAGAGGGGGGAGGGAGGGAGAGAGAGAGAGAGAGAGAGATGGCTGGCTTGGGGGGAACCTTTTGCCTTTCTTTCTTCCCTCCCTTAAATCCCTCTCCTGCATTCTTAGCCAGCTGCTTCTCTGCACACCCCTCTCATGTCCCTTCTTTGTTTTTCCTTCACTCCCCACTTAAAATGTGGTTACAAAGCATGGATCCACATGGATCCTCAGGATCTTTGCATTGGGTCACCCCAAATTCACCATCAGATCACATAGCATGTCCATGGCTACAGCCTGCAGCAAAAAAAGCACGCACCCACTGTTGCCTGGGGCTGCAATGGTGCAAAAACGTGGTTAAAAAGCATGGATCCACATGGATCCTCAGGATCTTTGCATTGGGTCACCCCAAATTCACCATCAGATCACATAGCATGTCCATGGCTACAGCCTGCACCAAAAAAAGCACGCACCCACTGTTGCCTGGGGCTGCAATGGTGCAAAAATGTGGTTACAAAGCATGGATCCACAGGGATTCTCAGGATCTTTGCATTGGGTCACCCCAAATTCACCATCAGATCACATAGCATGTCCATGGCTACAGCCTGCACCCAAAAAATCACGCACCCACTGTTGCCTGGGGCTGCAGTGGTGCAAAAACGTGGTTACAAAGCATGGATCCACAGGAATTCTCAGGATTTTTGCATTCGGTCACCCAAAATTCACCATCAGATCACATGTCTGTGGCCACAGCATGAAGCACCAAAATGATACATCCACTGTTTCATTCTGAATGTTTTTTCCCTTGTTTTCCTCCTCTAAAAACGATGTGCGTGTTATGGTCAGGTGCGTGTTATAGAGCGAAAAATACGGTAAGTCCCCTGCTCAACGCCTGAGGGCCCCAGTCCTGCCGCTCAACACCTGGCCCAGGGCAGAGCCTGATGGGCTCTATAAAGGACTGCTGTCACTGCTGCTGCTGGGCAGAGAGGGCTCCATTTTGTTTTGTTTGTTTTTTGTTTAAATTGCTGTTATTTTTTAACCTATGTCATTTTAAACTGTGATATTAATGCTGTATTCTTAGTTTTAGATTTTGATTTATGTAGAAATTGTTTCCCGTTTGGTTGTGTATTTTTTTGATGTGGTTTATTTATTGTTTATGACTTTTGTAATTATGTAAATCTTGTTACGCTGTAATCCGCCTTGAGCATTGTTTTTTAACTGTGGAAAGGCGGCATACCAATAAAAAACGGTGATGATGATAAATCAGTGTAGACCATGGGTAGGCAAACCAAGGCCCGGGGGCCGAATCCGGCCCAATTGCCTTCTAAATCTGGCCTGCAGACAGTTAGGAATCAGTGTGTTTTTACATGAGTAGAATGTGTCCTTTTATTTAAAATGCATCTCTGGGTTATTTGTGGGGCCTGCCTGCTGTTTTTACACGAGTAGAATGTATGCTTTTATTTAAAATGCATCTCTGGGTTATTTGTGGGGCATAGGTATTCCTTCATTTTTATTTTCCCCCCAAAATATGGTCTGGCCCCCCACACGGTCTGAGGGAAAGTAGACCCAGTCCCCTGCTGAAAAAGATTCCTGACCCCTGGTGTAGACCCACTTATGGTTACGTAACGTAACACATACTTAAGCCCATTGGTTCCAGTATGCTTATTTTAGTTATGATGTAGTTTTAGAATCACAGAATTGTAGAGCTGGAAGGTATCGCAAGGGTCTTCTGGTCCAATCCCCTGCAATGCAGAAATCTCATCTAAAGCATCCATGACAGAGGGCCATCCGAGTTCTGCTTAAAAAGTCCCAAGGAAGGAGAGTGCACAACCTCCCAAGGGAGAATGTTCCTCTGTCAAACAGCTCTTACAAATAGTTGGATGCAATCTATTTCTTAGACCAGGAGTGGGGAATGTTCAGCCCTCCAGATCTTGCAGAACTACAGTTCCCATCATCCCTGGCCATGCTTGCCAGAGCCAATGGGAGTTGTAGTTCAGCAACAGCTGGAGGGCCATAGCTTCCCCACTCCTGGGTTAGAATGAATGCACAATGCAATGGGAAGTGTCTACTGAAAGGGAATAATTCCACTGTGCTGCTGCATTGGAAGTGGTTAAATAATTCCATCAGGCCTGATAAAGAGACCCAGCATATTTGCCCTCCCTCAGCAGATGCTGTCTGGAAGGAGGCTAGTGAAGAGGAGGGATTCATGTAATAATGCAGCCTTTTCTTTTTGATGGGTGCTTTATTTTCCCTGGCATATTAAGGGTGCCCTGGCACACACTTCAGAATTCCTTGGCTATGGTGTGCAAACCATGTTGAAGTAAATGGGATATTAGTACAGCAGCTCTTTGGAAACAGTTGCAGCTGCAGAGCTGGGCAGTACAATACTTTCAAAGTGGTTTAGAGCATTCAACTAGTTTAATTCCGTACATGTTACTGGGAATATGTTTTATTGTATTTATTTATTATCGTAATAATCAGAAGATCCGTGGGTTGGGGGGGGGTGTTACAGCAATATAAAATGCAGCACTAACAACAGTTGAAAACTATGTCTTGATGTGATTCATTTTATTTTAATCATGCTTCTTGAATGTGAGCACGAGGAGAAGTTTAAAAATATTTATGAATAAATAAATAATAGCATCATTGACCCAGGACTGGGTATGCTTCTTTTTAGTCGTTTGTGAATCCTGGGAGTTATTGGTAAAAATTCTGACCTTATATAAAACAGCAGGAAGTAATATATGGGGTGGGGGGTAATACCATAGCTCAGTGGTAAAGAACAAGTTTGCATGCAGAAGGTTTGATGCCTGACTTCTTTAGTTAAAAATATTAGATAGTAGCCATAAGAACGATCTCTTCCTGATACTCTGGAGAGCCTAATGGAAATATAATCTGACCTGATACAAGTTACTTTCCTATGAACAATTGACCCAGTTAAGTGTTGATGTTTGACTTGTTTGTAATTCACAGTATATGCATTAGTTTCCCTCCTTCCCTCTGGGAATAATATTTTTTTTAAAAAGAATTGGTTTTAAAATGCAATAATAAAGAAGTTTCTTTAGGATTATAGTTACTACTTCTGTTACATATATAGATAGATATAGATAGATGGCATGTCAATAAAGGGGCTTTGTGCTTCAAACTGGCTGTGATATGTGCGTGTTTTTTTTCCTTTTGTTGTTGTCAATAGAAAAGATTGATCTCTGGGCTGGTGAACGTAATATCTGTCCCAGTCAGAAAAGGAGAGGAAATTAGCAGGACGATTGGTGGAGAATGATATCTGTCAAAAGAAACACTTGGAGAGCACTGAGTTTAGTAATAGGTGACTGCCGGAAAAAAGGGAACTTTGAATTTTGCCAAGGTAAGGAACAGATTTGTAATTAACATGCTATTTATGAGAAAGAAATTGATTTGATTTATTGTGCCTTGTCCCTCTGTAACTGTGCTTTCCATCTTCTCCTTGTTATTCCATGTGCTTCCCATCCCTCCCTTGGAATCTAACCTTGTAGGGCTTTCAGATTTTGGATGGTTATGCATGAAGAACTTGTGGAGAGATGCCCTATTCATATTTATCTCAAAGCATGAAATGCCTAATTTGAGAGGAAGGGAGTAGATTTGTAACACACAAACACACACCCTTCCTGCCCCACCTCCAGCCCATCTTACAGCCACATTTTGGATGTAAAAAATGAAATGTTGTCTGTTTTCATACAATATAATGTGCATTGGCCCAGTGGGTAGGAATCCCACCCTCTCTCTCCTTTCTGATTTTGTAGCATCACAGTTGAGAGGCTACCATCATGGGTTGAACTGTGACATTGGTCCCATTGGTACAGAGGAAGGAAGGAAGGGAGGGAAGCAATATGCAATTCTTAGCAGAAAAGGTGGATTTTGAAGAGGGATTTGAAAGAAGTAAGGCACAGGGTGTTCTGCGATGTTCTGCCTGTGGAGTAGCAAGGAAGAAAGGTCTTTAGAGAAGCAGGAGACAGTTGGCACAACCTTCAGCATAGACTTTATTGCCAACACTACAAAGATCCAACATTGCAAAAGCAGGCACCTGCTTACACGGTGGGGGTCCTCTACCTTCTATCTCCCCTGTTGCCCACCCTCCCTCCCACACTCACAATATGCTCCTGGAAGACCCATTGGAACATGTATTGGGTGTGTGCAAGAAAGTCCCATTTCACAAGTGAGTGGACATCATTGAATGCCATTCAGGGTAAATACAGAGGTGGGGCAGGTACAGCTGAGAGATGCTGCAAGATAAGGTGCCCCAATCCCATTGCATATACAGATTTGGCAAGCTTTGAGGTACATATGAGTAGTTATTTAATACTTATGTCACAGTCCACTTATCCAGAAACAAATCTAATGAGACCAATGCAGATTCAGAGGCTTAAGGACTGTGGGGCTATGTCCACTTTGCATTTAAGGCTGTTGGTGTGGAGGGTTGGATGATGTTCCTGACAGTATTACAGTATGTGGGTTTATCTGAATGACTGAATATTTCAAGTGAGTCGAAAGGTTAACTATATTTCGAACCTATGTTTTGATCTATACTTACGTGTGTATATAAAGTACAAAGGGTATGTCCATTACAGATGAAAGTCGCAATAGATTCAAATATTTTTGGAGGCAGTCCATGAAAAACTGTAGCTATTTCCTGCCATTCTGATCTCTTCAAGCTATGAACACTATATTTGCTTGTAGCTCTGCCCAGAGTCATTTTTCATGCCTATTTCATATGGGAGCAGCTGTTACTAACACTTCAGCTTACTGGAAGTTTCACCATCTTACTGGAATGCTTTTCAGTTCCCTTGAAACTCCCACAGATGGTTCACCTAATGGGACCTTGTTGCATGTTAGGAACTGTAGGAAACTTACACCCAATCTAACTCAGTAATGTTGGCACTGATTGACAGCGGTTCCAGAAAGAGAATATTTCCCAGCCCTACCCGGAGATGCTGGGGACTAAATCTGTGACCTGTGTTCCACCAATGAGCTGTGATTCTTTTCCAAAGTTCATAATCTGCCTCTTCGTTCCATCAAGGTATTTAAAAATACCTAGCGGATGGCGGTCATTTTTCATTTTTAGAACGTGTCCTAGCAAACTAGTGCAGCCTTCAGAAAGGCCTGAGAACTTTGAGAACATCTGGTACAGCCCTTTGTGTTTCATGACTCAACCAGACCCGCTGTAAGAAAGTGCTTTTGAAAGTCCCATTTACTTCCGTGGGAGTGTTAAGCACATGCTTTGCTTTTTTCCACCATAATAAATGTGTTTTAAATGAGTACCTCTCATTGGATTATAATAGGTAGTAGATCACTAAGTTCTGAAAGACAGACCAATAAAATCTGAATCCTAAAAGCATCTGCTGATTTCTAAGCATGTGCATTCAGTGTCCAGGTTGAAAATTTGGCCACTGATCTTGAACTGAATTGAAATTTTGTTGAGCAAATTAAGAGGCAATGCTGTCAGGCACTTTCTGGAGCCCTAATAGCTGCATTGGGGGGAGGGGAGTCATGTGATAACAATGCATGCAGCAACCTTCTTCCAAGTTCAGTGGAATAGATCCTTTGCGTTTTTAAAAAAGTTGCCCTTTCAAACGGTATGGTTAAGGGTCAGATTTTATCTGCTTGCTAATGAAAAACAGACACAAAGCTAGACTGAAATGTCAGTGTTTCCTCCTACCCCAGCATGAGAGATACCGGTATGTAGCAAAGTTATATAAGGTGGTCTGTCGATGGTCAAAAAAGTTTTTCTTCTATTTGTTACCAAAATACATTGGTAAAATACAGGCAGTTGCCACTAATGCTGACCTACTGCTCCCAGCACATGTGACTGCAGTCATAAATATCAGTAATAATGCCTTGGGTTGGAAATGGGAAAGGCTTCCACATCTGCTTATCTAAAGATGACAATAAAAAGCAGCCTATATTTGATGGACCAGGAAGAACTAGGGTAGAATCCCCACCCAACCATGAAGTTCACTAGGTGACCTTGGGCTCAGCGTTCAAACTCCCACCTACCTTATGTAGCCCTGAGCAATTTGGAGGGAGGGCCATTTACAAATGTAATAATGACTAATTTGCAAAAGAAGAGGAAGGTGTAAAATACCAGTATAGGCTGTATTGTAATAATGGTGTTTTGCAGTGTTATTTTTCTAGAAAAAGGGGTGGCGGAACTCACCACGATGACCTCCCTCATTCTCTTAGAATGGCAATGGCGCCCATCTGAGAGGTGCTGGAGTTCCAGTGAGTTCTGGCTGGGAAAAAAGCCATGGTGCTTCATATTAATTACCCGAGTGTCTTGTTTACTACATTTGTTAGCTGCCTTTCCTCCAAAAAAACACAAGGTGGTGTACATGGTTCTCGCTGGCTTTCAGCATCACGCCAACCCTGTGAGGTATCTTAAGCTGATAGGCAGTGTTTGGCCAAGGTCAACAAGTGAGCTTCATGGGTGTGTGGAGATTTGAACATGGCTGCCTCTGGTTCTAGTTCAGTCCTCTAACAGCTACAATGCATTGGCTTTCATTGGTATATAAATACATTAAATTAAATCAAATCAAATAAATATGGGTCAGACAGATTTAGTATCCAAAAGCTGTAATTTGCAGAGCTGCAAACTACCTAAACATACTGGCAAATTTGTTAGGAAGGGAAATAAATACATCTGCAAGATATCCAAAATAGGACCCAAAATGCAACCAGCCAGGCAGCCATAGCTGAGTTGTGGCATATGCTAATAGACGTATGAAATTCTAATTACACAGCAAGAAACAGGGAACATGCCCCTAGAGGGAGAGAGTATCTCCATCCTGCCAATTTGCTCACTTCTACACCTTCCCTTCCATAATGTGGAGTAAGGTGGAAATATGTTAAGTGAGCTAGAACCTGGGAGACAAAGTTTAGAAGCCTCAGCGTCACCTTGGGCCAGTGATTGTCTCTCATCCTAATCTACCTCACAGGGTTGTTGAGGATAATGGTGGAGGGACGAAAGTGCAGTTATTAATCCCCCATCATTTCTTTAACAAAGTGAAGCTTTCCTAATCTTAACAGTCGGATTACCGGTAACCAAAATATAACGCATCCATTTGCTAGAATGCATTAAGATAATATTTAGAAAGCAACCAGCCCTCTCCTGCAAAAATTTAATTCTTCCTTACCTTAAAACATTATTCTGAGAGCCAGCCCACATAGAAGAGGCTTACAGTGCTTTATTTAGTTAGCACCTATGGTAAATAAATCCCAGTTGCTTCTTGGTGTATCCATGATATCATCCAGCCCTTCTTTGATCTGACATCCAGTTGCGCACACTGAAAAAGGTTCAGTGTTAATCGTATGCAAAGAAAATTCACCATGTTTACTGCCCATAGGAGTCTTTGGAAATTATATCTGTTCTGACTACTGGAGGTAATAATCTCCCCTTTGTTTTCTGAGCTTTAAAGCAGATGCTGTCCCCATACTTTTGTTGAGTTTAGTGTACATTCCTAGATTCCTTTTCCTTAAGCCTTGATTCCTTACTTCTTCTGTTATCAAGGAGTCATTTCTTTGTTGTGTGACTACTGTTGAAAGATTTTTTATCGATAAGAGACGTTTAAGGGTATTTTGGGGTGTTTAGATATGGAATTGTCATCAGCTCTCCTATAGCTAGAATTCTCTCCCCCCAATCATGTGAGAAATGATTGTGGCTTTCTGGCATTATGTTAATTGTTGGTGTGAGTTACATTAATGAATCACCAAAATGGATGACGAAAAAATAAACATGCAGGTTATTTTGCATGTTGAAAGAAAAGCAGTATTTTTAGGGTAGTTCACACACTATACATTCAACCCTGCTGAAGCTCAACACTTTTAAATGCAATAGATTTCCATGGGAGAGATATATGGGTACATAGGTGTTTGACTCCACACTGAAACCAGTGGGACCTAAAAGCACTTAACTTTGGCAACATGTTTATCTCTGTTCAGTGTTTCTTGGGTGTATGAATCTCCCTCATCTCTTCTCTTCCTCATTCCTTCCCTGATTCCCCTGACCATATATTCAGACTGAAGAAGAAGAAAAAACTACTGCAAACTAGTCTGCACAGTTCAGCTGAAATGGTAGACAAGCCTTCTTCAGCCTAGTACCATCTTGATAGTTTGGACTCTATCTGTCTTCAGTCTGGCCTGTGGTCAGGGCTGATGGGAGTTGTAGCATACAAGGCTGGCAAATGCTGTGATAGACTATGGATTAACAAGAACCAGTAGTCCATGAAAGAACTGGAGTGTGCAGGGGGAGTAACAAGAAGGGAGCTTATAAGCCCATGGCTTGTCCATGTAACAACAAACCATGGTTTGGTGTTACATCTGAACTGAATCATA